AAAAAAAAAAAAAAAAAAAAAAAGCAAGATGCAGGAAACCATATATTATATGATCCCATTTTTATAAAACAGTGATACATGCATAAGTTTATTTGCATATAATTTAAATGTATCTGTCAATGGTGACTTGATTATGGAGAAAATATACAGAAGGTTAGACAGGAGAACGTTAGTAAGCTACCTAGGGTGAAAGAATATGGTTGGTGCAAGCTGACATGGGTGGCTCAGGAATGGCAGAGGGAATCAAGCCCACCCCACCGCCCCACCCCAAATAAAGCAGGGGCCTTTGGAACTTGACTTTCTTACCCTGTAGCCTAGCCAGTCCCTCACCCCCACAATGCTTGACTCCTGGCACCCATCCCTTGGCCATCCCTCCCACCACCCCTTATGGGTGGCCTTCCATATTTTTCTCCATGATTCTAGAATGGGACAGCCAAGGCACTGAGGGGAGGGGAAGGCCAGGAGGGTCCCAGGGTAGGGGGACCTTTCAATGCATGAGAATGGACCTCAGGGTCTAAAGTGCAGCTCTTGCAAATTCATGGGAGTGAGGGGAAGAGGCTAGAAGGAATATTAATTCACTCACTCATCTTAAGTCCTCCTTCAGTCTCAGCTTACAGATTCCATCCTCAGAGAGGACTTCTCTGAGTCTGCCCATTTCATTCTGTCTCCCTATTATTTTCTCTCATAATACTCATCAAAGTTTGCCATTTTGTCTTTATTCGTGTGTGTGTGTGTGCGCACACGCGCGCGCACACGCACGCGCGCACAGTCATGTATTTAATGCCTATTCCCCTCCCCGCCAAATAAACGGCACCACCAGCACCACCAGAGGAGGGAGCTTGTATGTACAGCACAGTATGTCAGTTGAATTCAATAATTTCCTACTCACTTATCCTCTTTTTCATTGACTCACTCTTTTATTCATTTATTCCCTTATTCATTCCAGAAACGTGCTCTTGGCCAGTGACTTTTCCCCTGATCTGAGTCTTCCACTTTCTAGGGTGGCTTTCTGGGGGGAGGTGGGAGTGGGAACGTGACTGCATAATTCTGGGAATGCATCCACAACCTGGGAGAGCTGGGTGAGTCTGAAGCTCTCCAGGGAAGGAGGGAAGATTCCAAAAAGCTAGAGGGTCAGAGCGAAAGGTGCTGGAGGATCAGAGGACAGAGCTGGGAGTGACAGGGTGAAGGATGCAAAGGGAGACTCTTCTTTGCCGCCACCCTCACATCTTCTCACTGCCCAGCTTTTGCTCCGGCAGTCTGCTCTGTCCGGAAGAGGCTCTCCCCATCTCCACATGCTGAAATGCTACCCTTCCCTGCAGGGCCAGCCCAGATGTCCTCGAGGTCTCCTCTGAATCCTCCAGCTGGAAGGGCCGCTCCCTGCTGCAAACAAACTCCCAGAACACAAAGTCTGGACCTCCCTCGTGGCGCTGACCACTTCCTGCTTGGGCTGTAGTGTGACCCCTCCCTCCGCCCAATAGGCAGAGGCTCTGCCTGCCTGTTCCCAGGGATCCCGCAGGGCCCAGGGCCCAGCGTCAAGCAGATGCTCAAGCCTAACATGTGAACAGCACTGCGTGTTTGGGGGGGTGCAGTGATCATGACCCCATTTCACAGATGGGGAAATGGAGGCACAGACCAGGGGCACGACTTGCTCCCAAAGCAAAGCGGCAGCACAGCCTAGACTCAGCCCTGCATTTCTGGTCCCAGAGGCAGGGCTCTTTCCAGGGCAGCTTGGTGGGAGGTGGGAGTAGGGTGGGGTGGGGTGGGAGCTGGGTCCTGAGAACCAGCAGGCCAGAGAAATTTGGAGTTCGAATGGCCAAGTTCAGGGAAAGCACAGCTGGGGAGGAGCCAAGGTATTTATTATGCTTGGTTTCCAGCTCCAAACAGAGCTGATGGATGGAGCTGCTCCAGTTCCTATAAACAGCTCGGGCCTCCCTCCCCTCCACCCCTCCACATTCTCAGCACCATAGCTCCAACTCATCCCAGTGAGAGTGGGGTGGGGGAGAGATGACCAAGGGAGGAGAAGGAGAAGAGAAGAGGGGTTGGGGGGAGAGAGGAGGATGAAGAAGAGAAAGGGTCCTAGAGGCAAGAGGAACTGAGGGGAATGAGAGTGGTGAGAGAAGATTCCTGTTCCCCTGGGCAGCCCACACCCTGCAGTCCCTCTGTGTCCTCTATGTTCCTGGGGTCTGTCTGAGAAGTTTATCACCCATTCTTGGTCTGAGGGCCGATGTTAATCCCCACAAGTGTTTAGGTCCTGGAGGGCAGGGCCATCCATTCAGGAAACCTTTTCTGAACTTGCCTCTGTGTTGGCTCGGGCCCAGGGGACACAGAAGGGTCTCTGGGTAAGACCTCCTTCCAGGAGCTCCCGGTCTGGTGGTGGATCAGGCAGACATCCCAGTGTTGTGGCCCCGGGCAGCCCAGGGCTGATGGCAGCTGGAGGAGGGAAATCAGGGCAGTCTTCCCAGAGGAGGTGATGCAGGTAAGCATTGAAAAAGGAGGAGTTTGGCAGGGGGGTCAGGGTAGGTGAGACATTTCAAGTAGAAGAGGTGGGAGAGAGCCAGAATTGGGAGGGTCAGGAAGCAGTGCTGCCTAATGGTTAAGATTGCCGGCTCCAGAGAGGAGCAGGGCAAACCTGGGCTCAAGTCTCAGCCCTAGCGCTTGACAGCTGTGGCATCTTGAGTCTCAGTTTCTCTAAAGTGAGGATGATAATAATAGAAATCTCTCCAAAGAGTGTTAGAATTATATACGACCGTGTACATCAAGTATTCAGCGCAGGGCCCACCCGGAAGTGCTCTGTCAGCTCTGAATAGGAGGTGGGAGGTGGCCAGAGAGAGATGAGGATGGAGGGCCGCAGGGACCCGGACTTGCAGGGCCTCTGAGCTGCTAAACAACAGGGGCACAGAAAGCAGACTGTGGATCCTGGATCCTGGGGGGTTGTGCCAGCACAGGGAACTGACCGGGGGAGGCATCTGGTGGGCCAGGGATGCCGGCTTCCTCTCCTCCTACCCGGCCTGCGAGCCCGGCTCTTGCTGGGCCGGGTCCTCGTGGATTGAGTGAGCCAGGTGACCTGACACCACAGTCTGTCTGTGACAGGGGCTGTGCAAGGGCATCCTCTTGCCCTGGAACTTGCCGGATGCTCCGATGACCTAGTTGGCAGCTGTGTCCACGTTCGGCTGAAAACAGGAATTTCTGCCTTGCTGGGGTCTTGGTCAGGTGAGCAAAGTCCCCTGTTTGCCAGGAAAAGGGGTTAGGGGCCTGGTGGGCTCCCAGGTTCCCAGAGTCCTGGGTTGAGCTCAGCCCATGCTACTGCCCTCCTGCAGGCCTTCGGGCAGCACCTACTGTGTGCCAGGGCATTGCGTCACATACCCTCTCACCGCCTAGCCCCATCCATGAAATAGGCATTTCAGTTTTTCCTTTGGAGAGTAGGAGCTGGGAGCAGCAACTGGGAGCGAGAGGTCACAGCCAGGGAGGAAGCTGGGCTGGAGAAATCTCCAGGACGCTTGCGGATGGGGGAGGCGGAGCTGGAGCCTGTGGGAGAGGAGGTGGAGAAGAGAAGGTTGGCACCTGCAAAGGGGGTGATGTCTGGGTGTCAGGCAGCTGAGAACGGGAGGTGGGGCCACATGAAGACAAGCACAAGGGGCTGCAAAGTGGGAGACCAGGGGGACCACTCCCTGCCCTCTAGACTCTACCTCAGCCCACTGCCTGACTCCCACCCCCACCCCAGGTGAGGTGGCTCTTGTCCCCTTCCCCAGAGCCCACAGCCCACACCCTCACCCTCCAACCGCCTTCTGGGAACCACGCATGCTCTTCTTCTGGCCCCTCTTGGTTCTTCCAAGTTCAACCTTGAACTGCAGCCTGGCCGCTCACTCTCAATCCTCCAGCCCCTGGGAGACCTTTAACTCTCTAGCAGGGGAGGCCTCTGGTGTCAGGGTATCGGGGCTGGACGCTCAGGAGAGGCTGGGGCTGGAGACAGAGATGTGGGCATTGTCAGAGCGATGGGGTGGCTACGTCAGTGAGGGTGATGGCATTCCTGAGAGAAGCGTCCTGCTGATCGCCGTTCTGATGATGAGCGTGGAGCAGAGCCTGAGAGGAAGGCACCTGGGGTCCTAGATGTCGGAAGAGTGTGCCGAGGGGGAGGTGTGGGTGATGGGGGGATAGAGGTGAGGGGCCCCGCAGCTTGGTGACCTCAGCTGGGGGGGGAAGGGGGACAGCTGGAGGCAGCCTGGGATGGGTTAGGATGGAGGGGAGGGAGAGGAAGCTACTTTCCCTAGAAGTTTACCCATGAAGTAGGGAAGGAAAGGGGAAAGTGGCTTAAGGGTCTCCTTACTGTTCGTAAGATGGGCAAGACTTGAGCACAGCTGAAGTCTGAGAGGAAGAAGCAAACAGAGAGGAAAGGCTGAAGGACAGGAAAGAGAGAAAATGGAGCTGCAGAGGAGGGAAAGGCGCTCAGCGGCTCCTGCCGGAGGTCACTTTTCTCAGTGGTGGGTGGGGAGTGGGGTTTGCTGAGTGTGAGGGGACAGAGGTGTGGCAGGGACACGATGGGGGCTGAGGCACCCAGGTCCAGGATGGTGGTGACCCAGAGCCTCCGTCTCCCACCCAGCGGGCCTCAGCCTGTCTCCCCAGGGGTTTCCCATGAGGCTTCAACGGCTGGAAGGGAAGTAGAGGAGGGCAGGGTTCAAGTGGACGCAATGATTACCCGCAGCAAGGAGGAGGCCGGCAGGCTGCACTGTTTCTCCAAAATCCGTTTTTAATACATTCACGTGGGTTACACAAAGAGCTGGCCCCGAGGCCTGGGTTGTGGCCTGGGTCCTGGGGAGTGAGAGCAGCATTGTGTAGTGTTCTCAAAGATCAGGCATGCAGGGGCCCACACCTTGCCCTCCAGGCCTGAGGAAGAGTGTTTGTGTGCAGTGAGCACCTGTGGTCATGATCCCAAACAGAAATGGACCCGCCGGCTGCCCCACTTGCCACCAGGGCCCCGGGGTGGGGCCAAGCCACCAGGCTCTAGCCCCGGCTCTGCCGTTGACTCCCTGAGTCCTCGACCTGCTCTGGGCCTCAGTTTTCTCATCTGTAAAATGGGGTGGAGAGAGGGGCATTTTCATCATCTCACACTTTACCGAGCACCATCGTGAGCCTGAGTGCGGGCCAAGCACAGGTAAGAGGGTGAAGACAATGACACAGGGTCCCGGGATTAATCCCAGGGCTTCCTTTCTTCCCAGACGGCCCACGATTTCATGGGTATGAGAAACAGGGGGTTATATCTGGATGGGATTTTTTTTTTTTTTTTTTTTTGCGGTACGCGGACCTCTCACTGCTATGGCCTCTCCCTTTGCAGAGCGCAGGCTCCAGACGCGCAGGCTCAGCGGCCATGGCCCACGGGCCCAGCCGCTCCGCGGCATGTGGGATCTTCCCAGACCGGGGCACGAACCCGCGTCCCCTGCATCGGCAGGCGGACTCTCAACCCCTGCGCCACCAGGGAAGCCCCTGGATGGGATTTTTCTATCCATTTTTCTAGGGGAAAAAAAAGTCCCTGCATGATGAGGACTAGTAAGCGAGTTTGGAGCCAGCATCACCTTGTGATGTGACAGCTGAGAGAGAAGGAAACCATTCAGGTCTAACCACCAAGCCCCGCCCCCCACCCCCTCAATGAGGTCTGAATCCACCTTGTTTCACAGGCGCTGCCACTGACCTGTGCAGCTCTGAGCAAGTCCCATTCTCTTCCTCAGTCTTAGCCTCCGTACCTGTGCAACAGGGAGGTTGGACTCAATGGTTTCAAAGTCCAGGCTATGCTCAAAGGAGGGAGAGGGAAGGAGGGCATGCAAGAGCAAGAAGAGAAAAAGGAGAGCCTGCCTAGTCTGCAAATGAGGGAAGAAGGGAAAATGAGGCACAGAAGGAGGAGAGGGCCTGCGGCTGCCCATCTTCCCTCTGCCCGCCTGGGAGAGAGGAGGGAGAGGAGCGGGTGGGTGTGCACGGCACAGGACGCTCCCGGGCCTTGTTCCTGTCCGCCTAACAGCCTGCAGCCCCTGCAGTGGCCAAGCTCAGGCTCTGGACTCAGGAGGATGTGAGTCTGGAGCTCAGTTCCGGCATTTCTTAGCTGGAGGTCCCTGGAGGGAGACTTTTGGGGCCTCTTGTAAAATGGGATAAAATATGAACCTCAGAGGGTTGTCATAAAGAGGCAGATGCAGGCTTGGGTTTGTCACCACTGCCAAGTGTGGTGCCGAACGGAACCAGACACCTAAGGTTCTCACTCCTGGCTCAGCAGCCAGGGTGAGGCTGGGATGGAGCAGGGCGGCCTGGGCAGGGAGTAGCGGGGCTAGGGCAGTATCTTGGCCGGTGTGTGCAACACGAGAGTGCCAGGTAGGGAAAGAGCCTGCCCGGAGCAGGAAACGGAATGGTCCAGCACTGGGCTGGAGCCCAGGGAGAGCGCCTCTTAACCAGGCCCTGCTGGAGCTGCCGCAGCCCGCCGAATAGCACTGGATCCAAGCCTTAGGGGGCTCCAGCTCTCTTCCGGTCACAAGCTTTTTATGTTCCAGAGAAGCTGGAAGTCATTATCAGAAGATGTGACGAACGGTCTGCTTGGACACCTCTCAGACAAATCCTCCTGGTCGGCATTGCCTCTCTCTTACCCTGGCCCAGCAGGGCCATCCACACTCAGCCAGCTGGGGCTGCAGAGCTTTGGGGCCCTGGCTTCCACGCTCTGTGTGGTCACCGCAACCACCTCCCCACCCAGACTGGGCGATGCTGAGGGCAGGGATGTGTCTCATTCCCTGGCGTCCCCCGTGCCCAGGGCAGGGTGTGGCACAAAACAGACGCCTGGTGAAGATGTGTTGATCCGATGGGTTAACCTTACACTCTGTCACTCCTGCAAGCTGCCCATCTTCCAGCTTCCACAGCTGGACCACACGTGCGCCCTGTGAAGTGAGTCACCTACTGATGCAGCAGGATACAGGGACAGGAGCCCTGGGCTGGGACTGAGAGACCAGGGTTCTTGGATCCTGGCTCACTGGGTAATCTTGGGTCAGTCCCCACCCTTCTCCGTGCCTCTGGCTCCCCCACTGACCTGGCAGGGTCCCCCGACAGAGCTGGTCTGTAGCCCGCAGCCTCTCTAGGCTTTGTACTGCTGGTTGAACTTCTGCCGGCGGACACAGCAGCAGGCGGCCAGCGTGGTGAGAAGGATGGCACACACCAGGGCGAAGGTGAGGATGATGATGAGGTTGACGTTCTTGAGCCCCCCCTTCTCACAGTCCTCAGGACGCACGTGACTCAGGGACACCTCTTCCTGGGAGCCGAAGCGGCAGATCAGGTCCTGGGTGGCGTCCACGTCCACACGGCCCTGGTGCAGCTGGGCCGCCAGCCAGCCGTTGCCGCAGCAGCTGAGGGGGTTCCCCTGCAGGTAGAGGCGCCGCAGGCTGGTCTCCAGGCCGCCCATGGCGCTGCCCGGCAGGAGGCTGAAGCTGTTGTTCCTTAGGTCCAGCACCTCCAAGGACACGGCCTGCGTCCAGGTAGGCAGGCGGCTCAGGCGGTTCTCTGCCAGATTGAGCCGCTTGAGGCAGCTGAAGCAGGGCAGGTCCACCTGCAGGACGGCCAGCCCGTTGCCCTGCAAGGCCAGCACCTCCAGGGAGCCCTCCAGGCCCGCCAAGGCCCCTGTGGCCACATCCAGCCCAGGGTTGGCGGAGAGGTCCAGCTCGGTCAGCGGAGTGTGGAGGAAGGCACCTGCCCGGAGCGTCTCCATCTCATTGTCCGCCAGGTTCAGGACGCGGAGGGAGGAGACGCCAGAGAAGGCCACACAGCCCGCGGGTCCAGGCTCACCTGGGCCCCCGCAGGGGCTGACCCGGTTCCCCTGCAGGTTGAGCCTCTGCAGGCTGGCCAGGCCAGCGAAGGTGTACGGGGGCAGGTCCCGCAGGGCGTTGTCCTGTAGGAGCAGCGTCTGCAGAGACCCCAGGGCCCTGGCACCCAGCTCCAGCGTCTCCAGCGCATTGTGGCTCATGTCCAGGAGTGCGAGGCAAGGCAAGGAGCCCACGCGCCGGGCCTCAAAGGCCTGCAAGCAGTTCCGGCTGAGGTTCAGGAAGCGCAGGGAAGTCAGGTGCTCAAGAAAGCCCTCGGGGACGAGCTCAATCTCATTGTAGCTCAGATCCAGATTCAAGAGCTGAGAGAGGGGCTGGGTGCTGGCGTTGCGGCCGGGGTTAGAGAAGGGCAAGGCGGACCAGCCCTCGGAAGGCGCGTGAAGGCCCTCGCCGCCCTGGGGCGGCCCTGCAGGGAGGCGGATGAGGTTGTTAGACACGTTCAGGTAAATGAGTCTCGGAAGCGCGGCCAGGTCGGGGAAGTGGAGCAGTTTGTTCTCCCGCAGGTCAAGCCAGGCGAGCTGATACTGGGCCCGGGGCTCCGGGGCCGTCTGAAAGGCCTCAATACTGTTGCAGCTCAGGTCTAGGACGCGCAGCTGCTGGAGGCTGAAGTCGGAGATGCAGGTGAGGGAGTTCCTGGAGAGGTTGAGGTGTGCCAGGTGGGGCAGGGCCTCGAAGGCTCCGTCCTCGATGTCCATCAGCACGTTGCTGTGAAGGTCCAGCCGCTCGAGCGCGGGCGTGCCCCAGAAGGTGTGGCGGCCCAGGCGTGTCAGGCTGTTCTCCGCCAGCGAGAGGCTGCGCAGGGCGGGCGCCTCCGCCAGCAGCCGCTCCGCCAGGCCACTGTACAGGCTGTTGCCAGACAGGTCCAGGGACGTCAGGTGTGGCAGGGGACCCAGACCCCCAGTGCTCAGCGCCGTGCCCACCGCCAGGCGGTTGTGGGCCAGGTTGAGGTGCTCCAGGTGGGGCAGGGCCTGGAAGACCCCTGGCTGGAGGAAGCTAATCTCGTTGGCGCTCAGGTCCAGGTGAAGAAGCGCTGTGTAGAAGCCCAGGGGCGAGGCCAGGATGCTCCGCAGCTGGTTCCCAGACAGGTCGAGGACCTCAATGTCCCGTGGGAGCACCGAGGGGACCTGGAGTAGGCCAAGGCCCCGGCACAAGACTTCCTTGTCCACCTGGGGAGGCGGAGGGCAGGGAGAGCAGCGGGCATTAGTGGGTGCTGTAGGAGGGGCAACCAGACACGTGCCTCTAGGAAGTATGACTGGAGCCGCCACCAGGCCTGGCCAGGCCTCTCCTCTGTCCTCCCAGCGTGCTCGCCGTCCTCCCCCCCAGCCTAATCACCCCATGTCTGCATTACCCCTACTCTGCTCCCTGTCTCCGGTACCCAGTACGGTGGTGCTGGCATCAGGGAGGGACTCAAGGAAACTTTGATTGGTAGACAGACAGAGAGATGATAGACAGATAGAAGGACAAATGCACTAACAAAATACTCTATACTGATTATTATCCCATTTTAGAGGACACTAAGCCATGTATCACCGAGAGTGCCCCAGAGCCAGTGAGGAGCGGGGCCAGCTGGGACCCAGGCCTCCTGGTTCCACATCCCAGTTTCTTTCCATGGACCCAGAGAGTTAAACTTACCCAGCTGATGTTCTACTAGAAACCACTTTGGGAGAAATGTTTCCAAAAGGGGAAAATGCTATTTGCACTCCTGTCATCGGTGTTAATTTTGGTCTCTCACCCTCAGATCTCATTCAAGCCCTCACTCCACGGGGCAGAGCTCGGGTCCCAGAGCCAGCCTTCCTTGCTGACACTCACCAGATGACCTCGTTCTGCTGCTGCCCCCACCCCCACCAGTGGCTTCACTTTGCATGGTCCAGTCCAGATGGGCCCCTGGAGATGGGGTAGGGGGCAGGAAAAGATGACCAGAGTCTCAACCCACATTCTTTGATGACAAGACTGATTTTGCTGTGTCACATTACCACTCTGGTTTCTTATCCAGAATGTAACTCATCCTTCCCCAGCACCCATTCAGCATTTCATATTTTATTTCGCATTTTCAGACCCCGGTCTCACTGGATCTTCACAATAGCCTGCCCATCAAATCTGATCACCCCTCTTTAAGAAACCCAAAGTTAGAGAGGGGAAGGGAGGCCCCAGAATCATCCGGCTGGTGAGGAACAGAGCTGGCTTTTGAACCCCAGTCTCTTAACAACCAAAGACCCCACTTTTGTCCCTCCATCACATGTGCTTTCAGGGGTCAGAAATCTTTCCATGGAAATGCAATGTCCCTCTGTCTTTTCACACACACCAGGAACCCCAGCCTTTCCCAGCGAAGGCTCTGGCTTCCATAACCACCAAGCTCAGGCCCACTCCGCCCTGGCCTCTCTGTCTCCACTGACCCCTTTCCGCCAGCCAAATGCATGGCAACTGTTCAAAAACTCCACTCTGACCGTGCTGCCCTCGGCTTAAACCCCTTCCGGGCAAAGTCCAGCACCCTCAGCAGAGTTCAAGGCTGCCTGTGGCCCCTGCTGACCTGTCCCCTCTCCTCCCAACCCACTCCAGCCCAGCCCATACCTGCCCACTGCCCACTGTGCCCTCCCACACCCACCTCTGGGCCTCCTCCTTGCTGTTCCCTGTGCTGGTTATGTTCTTCCCAACCAGATCAGCATGGTGAACTCTGTGTGCTGAGCTCCAAGGTCTCCTCCACCTGGAAGCCTTCCCTGACTGCCGGGCAGGTTGGGGCCTCCTCTGGGCTCTCACAGCCCCTGTGCTTCCTCTCTCATAGCTTTGGCCCCCTGAATTGTGACTGTTTGTGTGCAGACCTGCTAGACAGTAAGTTCAGGGCAAACAGGGTTTGACTGAGTGACTACTGTGGACCTGGGCCATAGAAAGTGCTCAGTATATCTTTCAGTGAATGAAAGAGTCACAGACATCATCAGCTTAGTAAAAGTCTGAGGGATTGACTGAATCACCTTTCTGAAAGGAAAAGAAAAGAGATGATGAATATATTCAGACTAGAGTCAAAGACCGTCAGAGCAAAAAGGGTCCAGCCCACCCACTTCCCAGATGGGGAGACTGAGCCTAAAGATGGCAGTGACCTGCACGAGGTCACAGCGAGTCAGTGGCTGAGCCGACAGGGCAGGAACACCAGCCTGGGTGTTCCCCAGCTGGCCCAGCTCTCAGCTTCCTCCCAAGAGCTCCAAGGTGAAGCGGGGGGCGGGTGGGGGGAGAGGAACGGACTGCCCTCCATCAGGCAGTGTGACTCTTCCAGCTCCATGCGGCTTCCAGCTCCACGGTACTGCCCTACTCAGAGGCCCGAGGACACCCCTGCAGTTGGGCACCCATGCAAACTGGAATCCCACCCCGGCCACCCTGCCAGACCTGCTTGGCTCCGTGCCCCATCCTCCCTCACAACCGCCTCTGCCAGCTGGGGCCACTGGGCACAGCCTCCCTATCCGTATCCTCAGCTCCGCAAACCATCCTGATTAAAGAAGAAACAGCAAAATGAACACAAACACAGTGTGTGTTGGGGGATGGGGCTTAACCCACCTGCAAGCCCACACCCCGTTTCACCCCAGAGGCAATACTCAAAGGCTCCTTGGGGTACCAGCTCCTGAGAGCTGAGGCGGGACTCAAAGCTAGCCAAGTCCAGCACCTAATCCTGCTTTCTGCCCAGTGCCCAGGACCCCTGTCACAGAGGCCCAGAGGGACTGCTACAAGGCACAAGGCAGGGCTGCCCAGCTCTCCAGTCCAGTCTAGGAAGGAGCTTGAAGGCGTGGGCAGCTCTCAGAACTCCATTTGTCGGGTACCCACCGCTCCCTGAGCTCCAAGCTGAGTGACTTATTTGGAGAGGGGTCTTGGGGGCATCAGCCCTTAATCAAGTTCAGAGCTTCCCCAATGACCCCCTGTCTACTCTCTGGTATGCCAGGACTCCGCTGTCCAGCTCTTTTTTTTTTTTTAGAGGGAAGAGGGTGTCACTCATCACCATTTTACCACCTGCACATAGAAGGGAAGCAGGGTAGGGAGAGTTACCCGGCAGTGGGCAGCATGAGCTCGGGAGAGATGGGTTCGAATCTTGGCTCTGTTACCTCCTATCAGTATGACCTTGTGGGTCACATCTCTTCTCCCAGCCTTGGCTTCCTCGGCTGAAAAGAAGAGTTTTCTCTCATAAAATGAGGGAAAGCCCTTAGCGTGGAGCAGGCCCCTTGTTAGCCCTCGGCACGTGGTAATTCGTTTTTACTATTTTAAAAAGCATCAAAACCGCTTCCACGGGAGTTCAGAAATTGCTTTCCTGCCTGTTACCTCATTTGCCCCAAATCCAAAGCCCACCCAGTTCCCCTCTGCCTGTTGGGTGGCCCAGACCCTTTATCTCTCTGAGTCTACTGCCCCAGGTGGATGTGGGGCTGCATTTGGTGACGTCTGAGGCCTTCTCTGCCTGTTATTCTGGGTGCTGGGAATCCCAGACGGGCTCCAAGGAGTAAGAAGTGAGGTGGCAACAGCAGGACACTGCAAACCCCAGGGAAGGGGTGCAGGGCCCTGGCTGCCATCTCATCCAGCCTCCAAGAGCAGCTGTCCATCTTGTGCCGTAAGCTTCCAGTCTCAGGGCCAGGTGGGGCCCCTGGAGGGCCAGTCCCTTCCCCAGCACAAGCTCTGGTCTTGACTTCAATGATTGCCCAGCCTTACGAGTGGACCTAGAGGGTTCCTTTTCTCTGTACCCCACAGGGTCACAGTAACCTCAGGGCTAGTCTCCCTGACTCCTGGCAGGAAAATGGAACAAAGTGAATCAAACCTGGTCGCTGCCCTTGAGAAGCTCTTGGTCTGGTAGCTGAGACAGGTGTGGACCATTCAGCAACTTACCCTATGCACTCAATATTGAGATGGAAGGAAGCTTAGGGCTGTGGGGGCCCCAAAAGGGATCAAACAGAACCAGGTCGGCCTGGAAGGGGTCAGGGGAAGCTTCCTGGAGAAGGCAGCATTTGACTCCGGCACTAATAAGTGAGAGGCATCACGGCAGAGATGTGGCAGATGGGCTCGAGTTAAGGAGCCCAGTTAGGAAAGGGGATTCGTCCCCCGAAGGGGCCTAGTACAGAAGAGCCTTTCCCAGATGCCCACTCTAAATTCCCCACACATATACCTATGCCTTGTCAGCCAGCTAGACCCACTGCCCTTTGGGGGCAGCTTGAAGGGATAGAGTCCAATATTGGCCCTAGTTGAATGACCTTGGACAAGTTACCCAACTTCTCCAAGCCTCAGTTTCCAACTCTATAAAATTGGAGTAATGGTACTTACCCAGCAGGATTAACAGTAAACAAGGCATTTAAGCATTCTAGTAGGTACTCATTAAATGCAAGGTTTAAAGTCATTAAATGCATTCCCCTTCCTTTTCTGACCCCTCTAGCCTCTGGCTTCTGGGGCTGGGGCAGTAGGACACCCCCGGGCAGGGGGTAGGGGGAGACAGGGAGTTCTCCCTGCCAAGGCAGAGCTTCTTACCTTCTTACAGGGCACCTTGTCTCGGTGTTGGGAGGTAGCCAGGCCCAGGGTCAGCACGGCCAGAAGCAGCAGGATCCGGTGGCTCATGGCTCTGCACAGGGCAGGAGGAAAGGGGAAGGCTGTAAGACCACAGGCTCCTTCCCACCGCTCCTTCCTGTCTGTACCTGCCCTCAGGGAACCCCAGACCGCAGCTGTAGCTGGACCAAAGGTGCTGTGAATGGGGCACCATGTGAAGGAGATGGGAAAAAGGGCTGCAGCCCATCACAAAGGGCCTTCAGTGCCAGGCCAGGGAGCTAGGCCATTACCCTGGACAAGAGTTTTTAAGCAGTGGGTGACATGGTCAGATTTGGGTTTCAAAAGACCCTACCTGGAAGACAGCCTGGAGGAGGTGAGCAGGAAGGAGAGGGACCCTAAGGGCTGCCCTGGCCAAGCTCAGGGCTGGGGTGGGGTGAGGTGGGGAGCTAGGCCTCTGACTCCAGTTCCACCCAGGCCACAGGCAGGTCCCCCCATCCTAGCTCTTCAAGCCCCAAACGGAATTCCTCAATCCCCCCACCCGCAGACCTTTATTTTGCCCTTTCTCTTTTGATTTTCTGGTTGTCGAGTCCCTGCCATTGTTTGAAGGTTGGGCCTGGAGCCTTGACAGGAAGCCCCGCCAGGAGGCCTGCCCTGCCCCCAGCACTGCGGGCTGTGGACTTCCCCAGGAACAGGCTGCCAGGACCTTAACTTTCACTGAAGCCACCGCCCACGCAGTGGGACACCCAGGCATGCTGGGCCAGCCCTTCTCTCTATGAGCAGCGGGGCTGGGGTTGAGGGGGACCACAAAGCCCTCAGGAGGGTCACATCCCAGTGCTGCTAGGGGCTCATTCACTGAGAACCTGGGCCAAGTGCCAGGAATACACAGCTCAATCCATCAATTTCATTCATTCATTCATTCATTCATTCACTCACACCTTTACTGAATGCCTCCTCTTGTCTGGTTCTGTCCTGGGAACTGGGGACACAAATAAAGGCACAGAAGAGACCATAATACATACAAAACATTAACAAGGAGAGACACATAATGCCCTCCAAGAGCACTGGACCCAGTCACCCACACCAGACTGCTCCCTCTGTCTCCTCCACTGACCTGCTCTGTGACTTTGTACAAGTCACTTCACCTCTCTGAGCCTCAGTTTCCTCTTCTGAGGCTAATGCCAACCTTGAAGTTTTGTTAAAGATCAAATGAGACATATTCTATGCCACTTACAGAGCCCTCATTATGCACCAGGCACTCTTCTTGACACTTTACATGTATGAACTCATTTAATCTTTCCAATAATTCAACGACTTGGTTCCATGATCACCATTCCTACTGTGCATACAGGAAAACTGAGGCTCAGAGAAATTAAGCAACATGCCCAAGGTCACACAGCTAACAAGGGGCAGGCCCAGGAAGTCGGGCTCCTGGGTCTGTGCCCTTAACCTCTACACTATAAGGTCTCCTGCAGGTAATCAATAAATAAGTGCTGAATTGTGACTCTGAGGGGTGTTTTGGAAGAGGCATTTATAGAACCTTTATGGCTGAGTCTTTACTGTTAGAACCTATAAACATCCTTGCTATGAATTTTAAATGAAGGTGGGTGCTCTGAGGTCCTTTCTGGTTCCAACAGGCAAAGGCCCGAGCCGAGCCGTGTCTTTTAAGCCCTGTTCCCTGGGTTCTCCCGGGGCCATGGACCCCCTGCCCCACAGATGTCCTCCTCTCACCTGCATTACAGGTTGGGTTTTCACAGGAAATTTGGTTCTGCTGTTTAAAAAGCAGAACATCACCATCCTTTTGAATGCTAGGGTACTCAGAACTGAGTGGAAACCCCTCAGCGGGGCTTCGAGGCCCTTGGGGAGTGCTCCCTGCCCAGCCAGCTCTTCTCTCCAGCTTCATTTCTCACTGTCCCTTCTCCCACTCTGTGTTCTGGAAGCCTCATACTTCCTTCAGTTCTCTGAGCATCTTTTCACTGCCCCAAACCCTCACTTCCTCCCCTCTCTTGTGCTGAATACCTCTTCATCCTTTGGGTCTCAGCCTAGATGTCACCTCCTCCAAGAAGCCTTCTCTGGTTTCCCAAGTCTGGGCTATATATTGGCACCGAGCACTTCATCACTCCGTGGTTCCCTCCCCTTTTCCCCCCCCCCCCCCCCGCCGCCACACCACCACCACCATGGGAAGTGCCCCCAGGGCAGAGGGGCCTCACTCTCCTCTGGGAACCATCTTACACTGTGCAGGCTGGGGAAGGTGCTGAGAATTGACATGAGGCGCCTCGGTGACATGGTGACGCTGGTGAGAGCAGTTTTTCTCCTGGACTCTCCCTTCACCTCCCTGCCACACTCCTTCCCCCCATCAGCGGGTTCTGTCTGCTTTCCCTAAAACACAGACTCTGGATCTGCCTACCTCCCTCCTCCATCACTGCCACAGACTGAGGCACCACCACGACCCTGGGCCTCGACCCCAGCAACAACCTGACCTCTTTTAGTCTGTCCTAAGCATGGCAGCATGAGTGATGTCTTTAAATCATGTATCAGATCATGAATCTCACTGCTTGAAAACCTCCCATAAAATCGAAGCTTATACAATCTCCTCTCTGACTCCATCTACCATGTGCTCTTCCCTCACCAAATTCTAGCTTTCTCACCATCCCTCAAACACAGCAAGTGCATTCTTGCCTCAGGGCCTTTGCCCTTGCTGCTCCCTCCACCTGGAATGCTCTTGCCCAGATCTGCACGTGTTTTATTGTTTTCCTCTCATTGATCATTTCCCGATCGTTTATTTCTTATTCTATGAGAACAGGGATCTATTAACTGGTGCTCACTAAAAGTCTACTGAACAAACAGCAAAGTGAGGGGTAGCAGTCCACAGCAAAGGGCTGAGCGGTGAGTGCGAGGTGAGGATAAGGAAGGACCTGGATTAGTTCTGAACCTGAGGGCACTGCTGCCCAAAGGGGCACTCGTTTCCCCCTCCCCTGCCTGCCAAATTCCACTCTATCCCTGAGGTGAGCATCTGAGCCTCCAGGAGGGCCCCTCCCTGCAGCACGTGGAACTCCACCCTGCCATCTAACAGAAAGGGGCCCCTCGGCAGTGGACACCCTTGAGCAGTGCCCTAGACACAGTGTGGAGAATTTGAGGGTTACTTGCTCTCAAGAGGGAGGATTGGGATAATTGAGACCCAGGCTCCCATCCAGACTCTACTGCCCACCAGCCCTGCTCCCTGGGGCAAGTCCCTTAAGCTTTCAGGGTCTCAGTGTCCCATCTGTAGGGCAAGCAGCCTGGTTCCTGTTTTGCCACTGTTTGACCCCAATGGTTGTGATGACCAAGCTGAGAATGGCTGTGAAGGCACCCTAGACACATATTGTCTTTCCCAGCTGGGACAAACCCACAGGGCTGAGCAGCCCAGGCGAGGTAAGGAGTGCTGAAGAGGGAGGCCCCAGGCCAGCAGACAAGTGGCCTAGGCAAGAGGACACAGGAGACATCTTAGGACACTGACTGGGGGGAGAAGTGCCAAAGAATATGCGTGTGTGTGCGTGTGTGCACGCGCACAATGTGGGGGGAGAGAGAGAGAGAGAGAGAGAGAGAGAGAGAGAGAGAGAAATGGGGCGGAGGGCAACACCTACTACCATAATAAGCCCACCCCTAGTGTTTAAGGATGTTAGATACTCTTCTAAGCACTTGACCTATATCATTTCATTTCATTCTCACAACAAGCCAGTGAAGCAGTTACTATAATTTCCATTGTACAGATGAGAACACTGAGGCTCAGAAAGGTGAAGTGACTTACCCCATAGTTACCCAGCTCATAAGTGTTTTGGGATTTAGCCCCAGGTCTGTATGACCCAAATGCTGTGTTTTCTCCAGCACGTGCTGAGCCGCCGGCCCCCTATAGAGTTTGTCCATGAGGAAAATAAGGCTCAGAGAGGTGACTTACTCAAAGTCACACAGGCAGTAAATGGCAGAATCAGGATCAGAATCCAGCCTGTCTGCCTCCAAAGCAAATGTTTCCACAACACCAGGCCAAGACCTCCCTCTCTAACCCCCGCCAACCAACCCCCAACCCCAGCAGACAGGCTCACAGTGCTGGGCTCTAGGGTGCTCCTCTCCCTCCTCTCAGCCTGGATCACTGGCAGAGTGGGGTCCTGGGAGAGCTGCTGTGGACGTTCCCAGCCAGCAGTGAATCACTAAGGGCAAGCCCCATTCTGGAGACATGTGCATCCCACGGGGGAATTAGACCTTAACCCAAAGGAATGTGGCTGTGATGGCGGAATTTCAGGCAGCTGAGGGTGGGGGTGGGGGTCCCTCACGTCTTACCACCCATGAAGAAGGCTGGCTGCGGAGCTCCTTGGAGGGAGGTGGGTGCCACCCCCCCCATCCCCGCCCCTAGAGATGGGCAGGCTATCTGGTGCGGTGGGATGGGAAGACTCACGCCCGGCCAGGGTCAGAGGGCAGTAGCAGACCAGATTCAAATTCCGGATTGCCCTTGACTAGCTGTGTGTTCCCTGCTCAAGTGCTGGCCTTTTAGCGCTTGTTTTCCCATCTGTCAAATGGGAACGCCTGCCTCGCCCTTCGCGGGAAAGATCCGCTGAGCTAGGAGCCTTGGAGACTTCTGGAGTCAACCCTGGCTCCACGCGCAAAGCAGGGGGCGGTGGCGGGAGGGGACTGTTGAAGTTCCGCGTCTCGATGGACTAGTCCCAGCCCAGCTCCGCGCCGGGTGCTCGAGAGGGGCGCGGGACCGCCGGTTCCCCGAGGGGGCCGGCCAGCCTCGCCCGCTGGGCGGCTCCTACCTGGCTCAGCGCGGCCGCCGCTCCTCTCCCGGGCAGCCCCGGCACATTTTGCGCAAACCTGCCCTCCCCGTCCCACCCCGCGCCAGACCCCGGGGTCACGGCCCGAGGAGGCGCACGGCCGCTCCACCGCCCCACGGGAACCGGACCCGCGAGAGGGCAGCTCGGGCTCCAATTTAAATACCTCTCCCGCCGACCCGCCCCACCACGCCCCCCCCCCTCGGCCCAGCCGCGGGGTCCTAGCGCCGGGCCGGCACGCCCCCGTGTGACTCGGTTTATCCGGAACCCGCGAGGGGGTGAAGCTTTTTCTTGACGCTGAAACCCGGACTGGGAAGGGGCGGGTCGAAGTGGGCGGGATGAAAGGGCGGGATGGAGAGGGGTCGCTAAGGAAGCGCTGTGCCAGCCAGGCCGCCCCGGGCCGCCGCACGTGCAGTTCGTGGCCCCGCGGGGTCCAGGGCGGCGGGTGGCTCTAGCAGCCGCGGGTCCGCAGAGGAAATCCGGCCTGGCCCCGATTTCCCCCGCGGTCGGCGCCGCCGCACTTAGCCGGGGAAACAGGAGAGGTGACACGGCGGGGCTGAACGCGGAAGGAAATGACCCTTCGCTGGCCCTGGGGTGGCCACAGAGGGGGTTCCCCACACCGAAGCCGTCCCATCTGGTGAGTCCAGGCAGGTCACTTCTCCTCTCTAGACTGTGCTCTAGTGTCCAGACTCTTCCTCCTTCATCATCTCCTGGGCCCTTAAGCAGCCCTGTGAAAAGGTCCCATCAAACCCCCCAGAATTCAGGTGGAGAAACAAGCTGTGGATGGGGTCATCGAGTATAAATAAAAATCACTTGTCTGGGACTAGTAAGGTCCCCATTTATATTTAGGGAAACCGAGTCTCAGAGAGGTTAAATAGCCTATCCAAAGTCACACAGAATATAAGAGACAGGGATTTCCCCCAAGTCTGTCCACAAAGCTAAGCCCTGCCCAAACTGGGTACACTTTTCCAGCACTGTGTTAGTCAGGTTGTCTTTGAGTGCTGTGCAAAAAGTAGCACGGTGGTATTATTGTCTTTTACGTGGAAGGTTGAGGCGCATCTTCCCCAAAACCACGTCCTCTTCTAGATGCCTTGGCCCTGCCAGGTCACAGCTACCCTGCCCTGCCCTGCTGGGTGTGGACCTGAGGAAGGGGAGCCTAGGAGAGGAGGGTCACAGCTGTCCTTCAGGCCCTGGTTCCAAGGGTAGGAGAGAATTCCTCCTCCAAAATGTTTCTCTTCCGTGATGGTCACCAGCCCTGAGAGTAGTACAGCATGTCCCATTTTACCGGTGGGAAAGCGACCGCCCACAGCTTTGTGGTAAATCAAGGTGAAGCCAGACTTAGAAGCTGAGTTCCCTGAATTCTATATAGATGGCAGCTGCATTTCCTTCCTCCCATCTGGCTTACTGTGGGGACAGGCCTGGGGAGATGGGGACAGCTCAGAGAAGACAATCTGTGACAGCTAGGAGGGCAGGGTGGGGGTGGGGCAGGGCCTAACCTAAACTCAGGGGAGGAGATCAGGGAAAGCTTTCCTAAGGAGGGACCTGAGCTGCTATGAGGGCATAGGTAGGAAAGGTCACAGGACCTGGGAAGGGTGTCCACACCTTCCTCTCCCTCCCAGCCACCGGGAACCTCAGATCTATGCTGAGGGAAGGCCCAGCTGGTCATCGCAACGCCCTCTCCCCACCTCGCCGGCTTTAGTCCTCATCTGGTCAAATGGAACCTCAGTTTCCCCATCTGTAAAATGGGAAAGATAGTAGCTTCTTCTCGGGTTGGTGCCAAAACTAAGAATGACGGACTTAGCCTGGGGCCTGTACCCAGTGGGTGTTAGGCAACTTCTGGCTGTCTTTATTGTGGCGATTAATGATGCCTCTGCCACACCCTGTGGGCTTCCTTTTCCAGATCCTTGTCAAAGGGGCCAAATGTCCAGGAAGTGCTTCGCAGCAGCCCTGCAGCATGGGCAGAACATGGCTGAGTTGGACTCAGACAATTCCTGGGCTCTCCCACCTGACCTGCTCCCCCCACATCCAGCGCCACCTCACCCTTCTCTGAGGTGCTGCGGGCAGAAACCGCTGGGCTGGCGCAGAGCTCTGGCTGGGGCTGGGGTAGGGTGGGGCTGGGGCTATGGCGGGCTCGGGGGAGAGCGACCTGCCTCCCACACACCCCCAAACGCTGCGGTTGTGGTTAGTCAGTTCACAGGGGTCCACTTCACTCAGTGCCTGGATGGGGCTCCCCAAGAGTTGGAGACAGATGGGCAACCAAGCGTGCCTACCCGCTGCAGATGCCTCTTGGGACTGGGGGCTGAAACCGGGAACCCCACGTGCTCAACGCCCCTTCCTTCACCTTTTCACTTCTTCAGCGTTCGTGTTGCTGTGGGACTTTTGGCAGTTTGCTTGATCTTTCTGACCTCAGTTTGCTGATCTGCAAAGTGAGACTAATAATAACACCTGATGTTCTGGCTTGTCGTGAAGCCCAAATTGCAGCAACGTGTGTAAATCCCTGGTCGGGGGCCTGGCCTGTGGTCCTTGCCCAGGAAACATGACCTCCCTTCCCTGGCAGGTCCCGGAATCAAAACATACAGGACCTACCCTTGTGGAGCTCCCAGACCAGATGGGAGGCAGATGAGAACATAGGATGATGGAGTCCAGAAAACTCAAAGGCCGAGTCTGGGAGCCGGAGCTGGATATGAAGAGGGAGGAGAGGTGAGAACTGAGCAGGGTTGGATTTGCCTGGTAGCCATGTGGAGGGTGGCTTTCTTTTAAAGGCCACCAAGGCCAACTTTCCATCCAATGTTGCTTAGCGCCTGCTCGCACCCCTCCAGCAATGGGGCGTTCTCCTGGACAGCTCATCAATGGGGGGTTCATCTTCACTGTGTTGGTATTTTTGCGGAAACGCTTCTGTACCCTCATGCATCTGTCAGTGAAGATAGGAGACACATCTTTTCCTGTGTCTTCAGGACTACCATTCTGAGATGAGAAAACCCTCCCAGGCATGAAGACAGGCTCAAGGCTCCCTGGGCGGGGGGGGCGGTTTCTTAGGCCAGGCTGATAACCAAGGCTCCCAAGTAGGAGTGAGTGCCCAGGAAGGCAATGATGTGCACATCCCATCTGACCTCGGACAAGTCGCTAAACCTCTCTGAGCCTTGCTGGCCTCATCTAACTGTAGAAATGGGGTGGGAAGGACCATGGCACCCTGGACCCCCAACTTAGTTTCTGTTGCTCTTTTTACTGAACGCCCACTGTGGGCCAATCCTTTATCTCATGTGGCAAATCAGGATAAAGATAGCCACAGACAGCCTCAGGTGTCTTTAGTCTCAATTACTGACTAAGAAACTGAGGCTCAGCGAGGTTAAGTAACTGGCCCAAATCACACAGCTTGGGAGCCAGGAATTGAACCTGGGTCTCCAGACTCGCAGACTCTCGGACCAGATCTCAGTGCAGGGATGTGGCTCTCCTCACTCCCTGCCCCTGCCCAGCACCACTGTGGGCCCCCAGGGAGTCAGGGAGTTTCCTCATCAGCCCCTTTGGGGGCCCTGCCTTCTGTGGCAAAACCCTGGGTTCCCCAGTTCTTCTCCTGCCCACCCTCCCATGCTCCCTAGGGCAGCTAGGTTTAGACCAAACCAGCTATGGGCCACCTCCCAGAGGGACAGTACGATAGGAGGGAAAATGCTTGGTGTCAGCTGTAGGGAGTTTGTGAGCCAAAAAGCCACCTAGGGTGCTTGGGAAACAAACGCTGATAAAGAGACAGGTGGTGTTTCCTTTCTTCTGAGGACTAGCTTACGTGTTTAATGGGTATAATGAGGGCTGCAGGACCGGGCATGGTGCCAGGTAGTTTACTTGCACTGTCTTCTCACAGCCACCTGGCAAAAGGGGACTATTGTTCCCCCCCCTTTTACAGAAGAGGGACCGAGGCTCAGGGATCCTGTGACTTGCCCACAGTCACACAGCTGATAGAGCGGGGCTCGGCAGCCCTTCCCACCGAGTCCTTAGACTCCAAGGCCCTCATGCATGTGGCCAGCGACTGGCTTGGCTGGTTTCTGCTCTCAGCTGGGGCACGAGACACCCCCTCCCTGGGCGCTCGAAGCCATCAATGCGGGGGGAGCGGGTGCTGTGTACCCCTTGGCCGCCACACGGGAGGCGCTTGGCTCTGAGTCCGGTTAGTGAGACCTGGGGCTGAGGAGTCTGGAGGCTCCCGGAGGCCCCAAGGGAGAGGGGGGATGTTAGGTGAGAAACTTCGAGACTGGGTGAAGAGGCAGGGCAGGATCAGAAGCATCTCCACAGCTTGACTGTGCTGCTCCACGGACCGTGAAACCACAGCCCTCTGCGGGCCTCAGGCTGCTGGGAACCTGAGGGTTTGTCCCTTTGAGCCACACAACTTTTTCATCTGTTTTAACCATTTGAAGCTTAAACCCCATGAATCCTTTTCTCGATGATCCGGGGTTATCAGGATGGGCCTTGGTTAGGGTCTGTGATGTCATCAATGTCACGTCCAAATGAACACATCAGCAACAGAACCGAGCCGGGGTGAGAGAGCTGCACACACACGAGTGCCCCTGAAGGCAGCGTTAATTAGAGGCGAGGCTGCTGTGGGGCGGCTTCCCCCCACCCCCTGCAGGGGAGCTGGGCACCCTTGGGCAAGTCATTCTCCCTTGGCGGCCTTGATTTCTCATCTGTCAGATGGGGACAGTCATTCTGTCGACTTCAGGGGGGTGTTGAGAGGATGACATTGTAGAAAGCTGAATGGAATGGGGACTGGGTCAAAATGACTGACATGGCCTTCCTCACACGAAAGCCTGTGACTCAGTGGTAGACTGAAGGGACCTGTGGGCAGAGGGAGCGCCCAGTGATGGGAGACAATGACTCGGCGGGGGCTGAGTCAGAGGGACCATAGCGCTGTGGGCTCAGGACCCAGGGCAGAGGTGGGTCCCAGGCCCTTCGGGGGAAGGGCTGTGACCCAGATAGGACAACCCATGGTGGGGGGCCCCTGCCTCTAAGGGTTCCCTGGAGGTCCCTTGCCAAATTCCCAACCCTTCCAGACTTTGGGATCCCCACTGTGCTGGGCTCCCGCAGGCTATAGGCTCCTGTCTCCCTCCAGCTGGTCAAAGCCCCAAGGCCTGGCAGAACGTCCAGAAACTGGCTCGCCTGTACCCAGCCGATTCCCACAGATAATGGTCACCTGCTGAAGTTTCAGACACTCCTTCTTGCCTCCTTTACTTCCACTCCC